CTCTATCCCAGGACCCTGAGATCATGACCTGAGCCGAAGGCAGACGCTTAACCGGCTGAGCCACCCAGGCGTTCCTTCCACTGAGTCTTTCAAGCATGGTTGTGGAAGGTCAGCGGAACAGCAGGTGCAAAACTGTGAAACTTCTGGAGGCTTCCATCAATAGAGGTTGATTTCTGCCATGGGTTTGCCATCCTTGGTTTGACCAGAAGGATTTCTCCTTCCCTCCCCTGCAGGGAGCACCAGTGACATCATGACCAGTGACCACAGCCCAGTTTTCGCCACATTTCAGGCAGGAGTCACCTCCCAGTTCGTCTCCAAGAACGGTAAGTGGTGGGCGGCGTCTGTCCCTCTGTCCTCTACGAAGACAGGAGGCCTTGGGCTCTCGCCTTCTGGTTGCAGCAGTCTGTTGTCTGCGGTAGATGGAGGCTCACCTTCCAGGCTCGTTCACACTCCATCCGTGGGGACTCCTCGCCTCTAAACCACATCACGGTTTCCGTGCAGAGCGTGTTCTTGCTCTCTTTGGCAAATATGTCAGCTTTTTAAGCCTCGGTTTTAATTCGGTCTTTAAAGTTGAGTAAATGAGTGTTTGTCCAAGGTGTGGCTTGTATGTGCCACAATTCTGGGGGGCATGTGGATGAGCCTTGATCAGTAATGCATTTACTTTTAATATGTTTCACATTTGTCTCTTCTGTGTAAGGCAAGCAATGCTGGTTTTCCACTTAGTCTTGTGATGTACTTTCTTATTTAAATACGTTTACTTAAGTTTAGAAAGTGAGTCTATTTAACAAAAATATTAAGTGAGTATTAGGGCAGGTGAGTGGTAGGTGGAGATGGTAAACATTGTAAGGATGGGATGGCTGACTGAGTTTGGGAAATGCTGATGTAAATAATACTTAGATTTGCAGGTATGTTTTCAAATAATCTAGCTCAGCCCTGCTCACCAGGCCATCTTCGTCCCAGCAAGGGCCTGGTGTTCTCTGTGGCGTGCCCAGCCTGGGTCTGGGTGACTGAGGAGCCATGTTGTCACCTCCTCTGTTCACCCCCCACTTCTGTGCTCAGCAGACAGTTCAGGCTAATTTAGGAAGGTTGAATGGGGGGCCCAGTTGAGACTGGAAAAGCCCATATTGCTGTGTCCTTCGTGCCCTGAGGGTTGTAGGGGAGGCTGGAATACTGTCTTCTGGGACATTCTTCTCCACACTGTTGGGTTTATCGTCTGCTCTAGTAATGTGACCTTCCCTCTCCACACAACCCTCAATCCAGCACCCTCTCTCTATCTTAGCTCTGGGCACTATCTTTCTAGAACCTCCCATCTCTCCCTGGGCTCCCACTGATCTCCCCTTTCTCTGAGTTCCTGCAGCATCGATGGGATGGCTCATACGATCACACCCTCCGTGAGGACCCTCAGCACATCCTCAGTGTCAGGCTTGCCTTCTACTGGGACTCAGTGCCCAGACGATGCTCATAAATACCAATTACCTGGATTGAGTGTTGGTTGAATGTTGTCCTAAGGGGAACCTGGCCTACGTGTTGTGGGGTGTGAAATAAGCCAGACAGAAAAAATACCATAGATGTATGGTATCACCTATATGTGGGATCTTGGAAAAAACTGCCAATTTCATAGAAACAGAAGAGAATGGCGGCTGCCAGGGGCTGAGGGGAGCTGGAAATGGGGAGATGGAGGTCAAAGGGTACAAACTTTCAGTTATAAGATGAATCAGTTCTGGGGATCTAACAGTCTGCATGATGACCATGGGTAATAATAATAGTATTTGCTGGGAGCAGATCTTAAGTGTTGTCACCACACCAAAAAAACAAAACAAAACAAAAAAACCAAAACCAGTTAAATATGTGGGTGACGGATGTGTTAATTATCTTGATCTTGGTAAGCATTTCACAGTGTACATGTGTATCAAATCATCACGTTGTAAACTTTAAATATGCACGATTACATTTGCCAGTTATTTCTCAGTAAAGCCGGAGAAAAGGAGAAGGGAAAGAAGGAAAGGCTGGGTGGGAGAGAGGCCAGGAATGTCTGTCCTTGCTCTCGCGTGGCTCAGAATTTACCTGGAAGGCCGGAACTTGCTCACGGTGGGCCTGAGGACGCTTGCAAACTCGTCGTGTCAGTGAATACCGTGACGGGCCAGCCACCATGGTGGGAACGAGGGTGAATAAGGAGTGGAGGGAAGTCAGCCCGAGGAAGGAAGAACCGGTCTCCCTCGCTACTTGAACTTAGAAACGAGACAGATTTGGGTATTGAGCCACTGAGCCTTTATACAAGCTCTCTTGGCCAGAACAAACGGGGACACTGAGGCACGGAGGTTAAAGGCGTTGCCAGGGCTGTGCTTGTTCAGTGGCAAAGCTGAGAGTCGGCCTCTTGGCTCCCTGAGCTCTTCGCTCTTCCCACCCTGCTCTCCGTGGCCTGTGAGGACGTTCCCATCATCGGGGATGCTCAGCGCGGGTGGCGGGATTCAGGGAAAACCTCTTCTTCACCCGGACCTCACCTTCCCCGGAGCCTGGTGTTGGGGGCTGATTCAAAATGCTCCATGTCTGGGCACATCGTGGAGTCAAGTCTCTTTCTCACCTGCTCCAGGCCCCGGGACTGTCGACAGCCAAGGGCAGATTGAGTTTCTCAGGTGCTTCGCCACGCTGAAGACCAAGTCCCAGACCAAATTCTACCTGGAGTTCCACTCGAGCTGCTTAGAGAGTAAGTGGGCCTTGAGCTACCTTTGGCCAGCCAGACTTTTCATCAGCGGCGCTTTGCCCCACCTCTCTCCCTCTGGGAAGAATTCACAGATGGGCCTCAAGGGCGCCTGTGTGGGGGGAGCCCTCAGAGGTTCAGTTACCCCTGAGTCTAGGTGACTGGATCCTGGGCCACTGGATCCTCTCCTTGCCCCTCAGGGCAGAGTGTAATCCACTCAGGGGTCCCCTCCTGCCACAAGCTGGGGCTCTGACTCAACCAGAGGGTCCTAGGCGAAGGTCCAGAGCTCGAGGAGGCCAGTGTGGGGGCCCTGTTCTTCCCCAGGGTCCTCTGCTCTTTCCTATGGGACGGGGCATCTTCCTCAGGTGGTCTGGTGCATCCCCAGACGAGCTCGAGATGGACAGCCTCCTCCCAGCCAGCAGTAGTTAGCACAAACTGTTTAGCAAGCACCCTTTCTGGGTGACATTTCTAGGCATATTGTCTAAAGCAGTTCCATGGCGAGATCTGTGTGGTTTCCAGCTCCCTTCACGGAGATGGTCTGGAGGTGGGGGTGCAGGGCAGAATCAACTCCACCCAAGGAGGCATTTTGTGACGGGATGATGGCTGCTTCCAGAAATCCAGAAGATGTATTGCCCTCCCCCCTCCTTCTCCCACTCAGCCCGGGCTCAGTCTTGGTGACAGACCCACCTTTTCCTTAAAGTTTCTAGGGCCCGGGTCACCAAGCAGGGGCAAGGCACTTCCAAAAATGAGGAGGCTTTTCATGCGGGTGTTTTTAATAAACTATCGAGACATTTGCATACATTTCTATGGAAACAGCATATTAGGAAGCTCAAATTAGCATTTCAAAAGGCTGCTATCTTGAGTGGCGTGGGACGAGCTGTCATGTTTCCTAATCTCCTTGCCTGTGATGTGATGATTTCTTTGTTGCCTGGTTTGTTGCAAAAAAAAATAGCTGAAAAGGAGGGGAATCTCTTTGATTTTCCTAAAAATAATTCAACCATATTGGCAAATGACCATCCCCTGCACCAAAACAGAATCCCCCACAAGCCTGAGTCCTGAACGGGGCTGTGGCCCCACAGATAGAAGAGGGAGAGTATCTTCATTGGTCCAGGTGGGGCGGCCCTAGGAGGCTTTTCCATCTGGCTCTCGTTCTGTTTTCTGAAAACCGGCCTTCTTGTCCTATGACAGGTTTCGTCAAGAGTCAGGAAGGAGAAAATGAAGAAGGAAGTGAAGGGGAGTTGGTGGTGAAGTTTGGCGAGACCCTTCCAAAGGTAAATCAAAAACAGGACGTAGCGAGGGAGAACTTGGCCCCAGGGGCCTCAGGATTCCTTGATGGATTTCAGTTCCCATCATGGATCACGGAAGAGATCTAGAGATGGGCTTGTTGACCACTTGACTTTGCAAAGAGGGAAACTGAGGCAGATCCCAGAGAGGTTGGTTCACCATCACACAGCTGTAGTGACAGACAGGCTGGAGGCCCCGGGCCCTGATGCCCCCCGCAGTGCCCTGTCACCTGCTCAGCCCCAGCTTGGAGGATCAGGTGAAGGGGCAGAGGGGGGAGTCCATTGGCTCCTACCCAAACACTGGACGCAGAAAAAACTTGACGTGTCCATGACCCCATGAGAGCAGAGGGGGGATTTGAAAACACATAGGCAGACCTTAGTGGGAACACATTCGTCTTTCTTGCAGAAAAGAAAATGGCTTTCTCCCAGGACCCAGAACAGCTTTTATGATGTTGAATTGATGGTGGGCCTCCCCGAGTGCTCATGCTGGGTGCGCAGTGGAGTAGGGCTTTGTTTCTTTGTCACATAATGAGGGAACGGTAGGCAGACCAGGGCCAGGCAAATCTGTCACACATCCAGGAGTCCCACGGGCTCTCCTGGAAGGTTCCCTCGGAGGGGACCCCCAAGCAGAGCTTTAAAAATGGCCTTAAACAGGTAGAAGGACCCATCCTCTCCTAAGGCTGGGGTGGTACATGGGCAGTTTTAGGGGGCTGGGCTACCCACTCCGGCACTATTGATTGGAACCCGTGCTTGGGCCACACACAGGAAGGCAGATACCTACATCACAGTCTCCTAATGTGGGAACACTTCTGATTGGGGTCCTCCACAAGGCCAGGGCGTAGGTCAGAAGTCCCCATCCCGGGGCTGTTTTCAGGTACCTGCATCCTGGCGGCTTTGGGCTCCGATGTGACATCCCGCCTCACCCACCCACCCACCCTACCCTTCGGTTCCTCCCCTCCCGGTGGCCCCACACAGCAACCAAACGCCTTATTTGCTCCTTGGGTCAACTTGGGAAAGATGCCAGCCCCCCATCCCACGTCGTGCACGTACCCCAGGCTGGCTCACAGGACTCTAGGGTACCCCTGACCCACAGCCTCACCGCTGCCTACACCTGCTATTCCTCCTGCCTCCGTCCCTCCTCTTCACCCCACTGCTACCTCCCAGGGGTCTCCATCCTGCCCGCCTTCTTGCTGAGGCATCCTGAAGCCTGACGGATCTTTCTAGAATGCCTGTTTGATCCTGGCATCCCCCTCTTTATCTGGTCAACTCCCTGCTGTTGACATGAAATAAGCCCAAGCTCCTCAGCTCCCAGGCCCCCCCTCACTCCTCCTTCACGTGCTGTCCCCACAGCACCTGAGAGGTCTTTACTCCTTCCTGCTCCCTGATCCTCCACGCATCTCTGTCACCTGACAGCACCCTCTCTGTACCCTCTTTAATCCCCCCAAAGCACCCTGACAGAGGCTCCCTTCCCTCTACCCTCAGCACCCCCATGGTGATTGTGTCCCTCACAGACATTCTCTGGTCAGGTATCTACCACCCCGCTCCCACTGCTGCCCCAGAGGGCAGGGTCTTCCTGCATCTGCAGCACCCAGCCCGGGTCTAACTTTGAGTCCATCATCACTACAAGTCAGTGAACTGAGCATTTGCTGTGGCTCTGGAACCCGAGAGTGCCCCTGAGCACCTGCTGTGATTTCCAGTCATTTGTTTTGGAACTTTCTGAATGGAGATGGAGTCCATCCTGTCGGGCAACATGGCGCCCAGAGGCTTGCACAGGGGTCTCTTGGCATCTGGATGGGAAGGAAGGGGGCAGGCTGGAGCAGTGTATGGCCTCTTTATCGGGCCCCTCTGTGTTGGTGTCAGCGTGAGAAACAGCCTTAGGAGCTAGTGCACACAGAAAGCTCCTCCCTGTGCTTGCACGGATGCAGCCTACACTGGTGAGGTTCGGGTTCTCCCCACGTACAAAGCCCGACACAGACGTGTCCTGAGCCAGACCAGCAGGGCAGCTGGGAGCCAGCAATCCCTCGCTGCAGCAGGAAGAGGGAGACAGGGCTGGAACTCAGGATCTGTGCCTGTCATTTGCTGAGCTACCCTCCGACAACCTGCAGGACACTCCAGGGGGGCTCCCCTGCAGGGAGACCCTGTCGAGATGGAGGGCAGGCCTTGTGTGCCACCCGCTGGGGGGAAGCCTGCAGTGGGGAGTGGGGTGCATTTGGACCCGGTTCCTGGTCCCATTACCACTTTTGTGTCAGCCTGGCCCCCACCCCCATGATGCTGGGGTATGCAAGGGAGGGGAAAGGAGGGAAGGGAAGCAGGGGATGTGAGGCACACTTGGGGGGTCCAGCTCTCTCCTGGGGTGCGGTATGATTGGGGGGAGACAGGGACAGAAGTGAACCCCGCATGCTGGAGAGGGTGGATGTGTGGTTCCTTCCTACTATCTTGAACATGAAAAGCAGAAATTCAAATTCGATTAATAAGAACACCTGTAGTCCTGTTTGCTCAGGCACGCCCCTCATCTGGGCTGGCAGCCTCCCCGCAGCTGTCCCCCAGTGGGCAGCTCTAACCCTGTTGCCCTTCTCTGTGCAGTTGAAGCCCATCATCTCTGACCCCGAGTACCTGCTAGACCAGCACATCCTGATTAGCATTAAATCTTCCGACAGCGACGAATCCTATGGTAAGTGTCCCAGGAGAGCTGCTGCCGGCAGCGCACCTGCTCTTAGCTGGTGGCCTATGATGTCAGGGAGGCAGCAGCGTCTGCATCACGGGAAACCCACCGTCCTGCTCTCGTGCCACTGCTCTCCCGCTCCCAGGGCTGCCAGAGGGACAAATACTGGTAAACCATCCTTCCTGCCCCGTCGGGCTTCTGGGAGGAAGAGCCAGCAGCCACAACCCCTCTCGTTTATTGGGTCTTTCCTGTGTCAGATTCTGTGCCAGGTGCTTTGCAGGAATTATTTAATCCTAACGAGACCTTATAAAGCAGATACTATTCTCCCAATCAGTAGGTGAGTAAACTGAGGCTCAGAGAGGTTAAGGGACTGTGCCCAAGCCACAGGGAGTAACTGGCTGAGCCCTAATTTGAACCCAGGTCTGTCTGGCATTGTTCAGGGCCCCTGCTGGGCAGACATCAGCCATCCTACTAGGGAGACATCATCTTCTGTGACATTGTCTTCAGCCAGTCCGTGGCTCCAGCCCAATGTCAGGTTCACCGTGGACCGTGATGCATTCAGTGTGGCTAGAATGCAAGGGTGAGAGGAGCAGGTGGCCAGAGAGAGTTGGAGGCAGGAGCCAGATCAAGCAGCTCCTTTCACGAGACAGGCAAGAATGTGATCTGGGTCTGGGGAGGGTGTTCATTTTCAGTGCAAGGAATCTGAAGGTGCTTAATGCTGATCCAGGGAAGCCAGGACACGGAACGAGGCTGTAGACACAAAAAGTGTCCATGTGTGTCGACTGCCCACCGTTCAGGCTCTGCCAAAAGCCCTGGGATACAGATACAATTGCTACACTCATTGCACAGGCGAGGAAATGAAGTGACTTGTCCAAGGTCACATGGCCACTGAGGTGGCCTTGGACTGGAACCCAGGCAACCCAGCTCCAGAATCCTGCCCTCTACCCTCTCCTAGTCAGCACCAGAAAGAGGGTCTCTGAGCCCGGGCAGGGGTGGCCAGAGCCTAAGGATGGCGCTGACCTTGGATGGGGAGGGCCTGTCCGTTGTGCTGGGCAAAGAGAGGGATCTGTGTGGAGTCACAGTGTTTGAAGCTTCGGTGGGAGGCCACAGGCAGACAGGAAGGATGGTTCCGTGTTCTTGTTCAAATACTGCCTTCTTCCTCTGTTTCTTCATCCTGGTATTCATACAAACAGCATTTCACAATAATAGCAGGAAAAAAAGTCAACCCACAGTCTCATCCCCTACTTACAGCCACCATTTTTATTTCAGTCTCATACTTCCTCATACAAAGGCATACATAGATTTCTATATATAACCATCTTAGGGATACCATTTTCTATGCTGCTTCCCTCACCCAGTGAGAGACAGGTTAGGTGAGACACATTTTCCAGGATCCTGCTCCCACACAGCCTCCATGATTACTGCATTTAATGGCTCCCTCGTATCCCATGGGTTTCCTTCTATTTGTTTCTGTTCATGTTATCAGTAATGCTGAGATGGATCTCTTCGTGAACATTCTTTATCTTCCTTCAGCTACATCTTTCATTCTTTTGGATCATCTCTTGATAAGTTCCCATGTGTGCTGGGTCAAAGGCTATAAACAGGTCGGTGATTCTTGACACTCGGTATCCAACTGATTGCCATAAAGGTGGTGTCCAGCCGTGGTGACCTTGCCACGTCCAAGTGAGCAGGTGTCCCCAGATCCTTGCTGGCACCAGGTATCATTTTCCTTCCTTCCATTTTGTGCTAATTTCCTCTCTGTGAGAGAGTTCCTTAGTGCTGCCTTAATTTGCATTTTTGATGGCTAGGAAGACTGAACTAGTTTCCATGTATTGAAATCAACCAGCTACAATTCTTTTTGTGTGAAATATCTGCTTGGGTTACCTGCCCAGTCATCTGCTGGGATTTGATTTTGAGGCGTTCCTCATGGGGTTCAGGTAAAATACCCTCTTTGTGAAGCCATCAGTCTCTCCCATTTTCCTTTTATCCTCTGTGCAGAAGTTTTAAGCTTTTATATCCTCTTATCTGGCAGTCTGTTTTGTCATTTCTTAAATTGCTCCAAACCCTGGGAAGTTATCATTCCCTCTCGCAATCAGATTAGTATTTAAGTCTAGCTTTTCTGCTGGATTTTCTATGATTTAAATTTTTTTTTGGATCAACTAACACATGAAGTTCATTTCACTGTAGGGTTTGAAATGCTTTCCCCAAGTTGTTCCAAAAGGTTTATTCGATAATCCCTGCCTTGGACATTGTTTCGAAGGACCGTCTGTGGGCGGTGGAGCTAGGTCTGCAGGCTGAATGCAGTTTCTCCTGTGAAATGGCGGGCTCTTGACATGACTCTGGTCCCCACCCTCCCCAGGCGAGGGCTGCATTGCTCTACGGTTAGAGGCCACGGAAACTCAGCTCCCCATCTACACACCTCTCACCCACCACGGAGAAATGACGGGCCACTTCCGGGGGGAGATTAAGCTGCAGACTTCCCAAGGCAAGATGAGGGAGAAGCTCTACGGTAAGTGGGTGTGACCACTCCCTTGCCCCCTCTTCAGTGCTGCTGGGAGAGGGACAGGAATGAGGTGTCTCTCGGCCCAGCCATTGACTGTTCTCTCCGCTGTGGCCTCCGAACAGAAATCTACCATCAGAAGGGCTATGAGAGGGGCACCTGGGGGGCTCAGTCGTTAAGCGACTGCCTTCGGCTCAGGTCACGGTCCAGGGTCGTGGGATCGAGCCCCGCATCAGGCTCCCTGCTCCGCGGGAAGCCTGCTTCTCCCTCTCCCACTCCCCCTGCTTGTGTTCCCTCCCTCGCTGTGTCTCTCTCTGTCAAATAAATAAAGAAAATCTTAAAAAAAAAAAAAAGAAAAGAAAGGCTATGAGAGACGATCTGGCCCAATTCTGAGTTGATTCCAGAATTTCCCTGTAGAACCACAACACCCCACAATGTGCACATCATCCTTCCCTGACCCCAGTCACCTTCCATCTGTTAGGACGTGAAGCTTGTGAGTGTTCCAGGTGCTCTGTTCTTGTCTTAGATTAGGCTCGTAGGCCTTGTCACTTCCTGTTAGCACCTCCACTAGAAGAACTAAGATGACACAAGAAACCTGCCTAATCCTGAATAGCTCTTTCTAGGCTACAGGCGAAGGCACTGGCTGCAGCTGAGGTTTAGAATTTCCCGAATTTCCCGTGTGACCCGTTCTTCCTCGTGGCCACGTGGTATGCAGCTCACACACATACACACACACACACACACGTGTCCACACCCCACCCTCATGGTGCCTCCCACGACTTCTGGGCCTTCTAGGCTGTTGCACACACCGTACACACCAATAAACCCCCTGTCCTTGTTCTTAGCACATTCCTTTGGCTTTTCGCTACCGTCCAAAATGGCAGCATTTTGGGGTCTTCTCTTCCCTGGCAGGGTCCCCCAGTACCTCTTCCAGCTTGACCTCAAATCTTTGTGTCCTGCAAAACGACACATGCTTCCTTCTGCTGGCTGTTGGGAGGAGGCATCTGTCGTGGCTCTCAGGAATGGCACCAGTGTAGCCACGCTTGGGAACAAACACTCATTGGAGGTGTTTCCTTACCCCCGTGCAATCCCAGCCTTGGGGAGTCATCTCCTATCTGTCCCCAAAGGAAACCCTGCTGATTCCCAGTAGGCAATTGTAGACGTCTTATCTCTTAGATAAGACCCGTCACTGCCCCTCTGGGAAATACTAAAACACAGCCCAGAGACTGCTAATAGGGAACACGAGGAAGTGTCTAGACTCTAATTTTCTTAGAATCCCGCCTAAAATTTTAAAAATTGGAAATGAACACGTTGTCTTCAATAGTATCCATGACATTAAAGCCTCTCTGCTTGAGGGGCTCCAGGGTGGCACAGTTGATTAAGCGTCCGACTCTTAGTTTCAGCTCAGGTCACGATCTCAGGGTTGTCTGGGATCAAGCCCCGTGTTAGGCTTCGTGCTCTGTGAGGAGTCTGCTCAAGATTCTTCCCCCTCCCTTTAAACTAGGTGGGCTTTGGTATCCAATGCTCTTGTGGAGCCACCTTATTCTGTTGGTTTTATTTGGATCTCCCAAGAAATATTTGCCTGTCCCTTGTGACACCAACTAGCTGAAAATGTCCCATGAAATGATAACTCTGGGTCGCACATGCCAACTCTTCCTCCCTCTGCAACCACGGCAGACATAACAAGTCAATCACTGAACGTGCGTGAGGCCTCAGAATCTTGCTTAGCCCACCGCCCAGCCAGCCATTAGTCACTGTCCAGCTTCAGCTGCCATCTTGCCCAGACTGGGTGCCAGGCCTCACGTGCTCTTTCCTGGCTCTTTCCTTGCAGACTTTGTGAAGACTGAGCGAGATGAGTCCAGTGGGCCCAAGTCCCTGAAGAGCCTCACCAGCCACGACCCCATGAAGCAGTGGGAACCTGCCAACAGGTAGAGCAGGGGTTGCTGCCAGGGTTTCCCTACAAACTAGCTTGGTTTTGTAGACCCAGGACCCGGGAGAGGGTGAGTGGAGCGCAGAGAAACCAAGGACGGGGAGGAAACAGAAGCTGAGGCCCAGGACCGGCGCCGTCCTGCTGCCCACTCCGGGGAGGCGGGTGTACCCATGCAAGGCCCGGGGGGGCGCCTGCGTGTCAGAAAGCAGCTCAAGGGGCACCCGCGTGGCTCAGTCGGTTGAGCGTCTGACTCTTGATTTCAGCTCACGTCGTGATCTCAGGGTCAGGATATCGAGCCCCGCGTCGGGCTCTGCGCTGGGTGCAGAGCCTGCTTGAGATTTTCTCTCTCCCTCTGCCCCTCCCCTGTCCCTCTCTCTCTCTCTTAAAAAAAAAAAAAAAAGTTCAGTTCACTGACATTGGCTGAGCACTTGGTGTATGTCAGATTCTAGAGAAACCAAGGCAAAGTTGGTGCAGCCCCTGACTTAGGAACTCTCAGCCTAGCAGAAAGACGCGGTCCCGGGGGAAGCTGCTGCAGGGAGGAAATGGCTCCCGTGTCTCCTGGGGACCAGGGACGGCAGCAGGCATGGCTCGGTGGTCAAGGAGCCCCATCCTGTTACTACGGGGGAAAAAAATCATTGAGGAAAATGCACACAGGTTGCTCTTGGCAGAGCCTGGACTGGGAATAATGCAGACATTAAAGTCTCTATGACTAGGGGACAGCAGTCCCCAATAGCAGGGTCACCTTGGCTCACTGATGTGCTCCCAAGTCCCAGAATCAAGCCAGGTGGCAGGGTCACAGTCTCTGTGCCAGCTCGCCTGCTGAGGGGGCAGAGTGGTGCTGGTTGGCCAAAGCAAAATCCCAAATGCTGCTCTAGAGCCCAGCTTCCTCCCCTCCTTTGGGTCCTCAGACCACCTGTGTGGCCAGACCTCACCCTCACGCCTGCCCCACCCCTTGCCCCCAACTCCTGTTGCCTCTGCCAGGGCCAGGCCAACCCCTCCACAGTGTTGGGTTAACCGTGCCCCCAACATTCGAGGTTCTAGCCTTGACTTCTGTGACCTCCCACTCCCCTTTCCAAGTGCCTGCACGGCCGTCTCCAGTTTGATGCCTCACACAGACGTGCAAGCCGACACATCCCAGATGGAGGCCTTCCTTCCTCACTCAGCCTGGCCTCACCAGCCTCTTATCCATCCTCCCTGCTTGCTCACAGGCCTTCAGACTCTCGTGAAGCAGGTCAAGTCCCTCCCAACGGGGCCTTTGCCCGTTCTCCCCCGTCTCCCCTCCCTTCCTTATCTGCCTCCTCAGGTAGGCCTTCTCTGGCCACCCCGTGCCCCGTGGGTCCCAGCCCTCCTGCTGGTCTGTCTCTGCCTCCTTTGTTACTCTCTAGACTTCAGCACCGTGTGAGCACCGTGTTCCTTAGTTGCTGTGCTTGCTTCGTTTTCTCTCCTGTCTGATGTGGGTCCTATGAGAACAGAGACGGGGCTGCCTCGCTCACGCCCACATTCCCTTCTGGCCCAAGGCCTAGGGCTTACTAGGCACCCAGTAACTATTTTGCTGTATGAATCAATCAATCAATCCATTGTCCAAAAAGTGAAGGAGCAACAGAGGGCCTGGGGGGCCCCAGGGGGACCTCAGAGGACACTGTCCTCATGTGGTGCTGACCTGGAGGGAAGGGAGCCCTGGGGTGTGACTTCGGGTGTCTCTCCCCTCCAGGGTCCCTCCATGTGGTAGCTCCAGCATCACTGAAATCATCAACCCCAACTACATGGGGGTGGTGCCCTTTGGGCACATGATGCAGTCCCTGTCCCCTGACCAGCAGCCCACAGCCTGGAGCTATGACCAGCCGCTCAAGGACTCCTCCCTGGGGCCTGGAAGGGGAGAGAGTCCCCCAACACCACCCTCCCAGCCACCCATATCCCCGAAGAAGTTTTCATCCTCGATAGCAACGCGGGGCCCCTGCCCCAGGACGCAGGAGTCAAGGTGAGTGTCCTCTTCATCAAGCCCTCTCCCTTCTCTGGGTTTCCACCACCAGGGAACCCGACCCTAGAATAGAAGCTGCATGAGGGTAGTAGGGTTGTGTGTCCACTGTGACCGTCGACTCCTCCTCAGGGCCTGGAACACAGCAGGCACTCGAGAAATGCCTATGGAATCTCCACATCCTACCCTATCGGTGTAAGTTTGAAAGACTTTTTAACAAATAGAAGATTTTTGGGGCACCTGTGTGGCTCAGTCATTAAGCGTCTGCCTTTGGCTCAGGTTATGATTCCAGGGTCCTGGGATCAAGCCCTGCATCTGGCTCCCTGCTCCGTGGGGAGCCTGCTTCTCCCTCTGCCTGCCACTCCCCCTGCTTGTGTTCCCTCTCTTGCTGTGTCTCTGTCAAAATAAATAAATAAAATCTTAAAAATAAAATAAAATAAAAATTAGAAGATTTTAAAGATACTGCCCCCCCCCAAAACAGCTTCCCATGAAAACTACATTTATTGGAAAATAACGTTTCTATAACTAGCGAACCTTCATGCAATCTCTCAAGGAACACGTGGGGATTTCCTCCTTCCCCAGCTCTGAGTTCCGCTGCCTTTTCAGCTAAGACGTTCCTGTTCCCATCCACAGCCTTTCTGTCCCTCCTTGGGAGGCCAGTCAGAAGACACAGCAGCCATGGGGCAGTGCAAAGGGCAGGAGAGCAGGGGGCCTGCAGGAGGAGGGGTTTGGCCGAGAAACTTGGGGAAAGGCCAGGAGCCCAGAGAAAGCCGACCTGCATCTAGAACCGGTCAGGGCAGCGCGGGCCAGGAGGACGGAGCCGGGAGGGGCCCAGGCCGGGCAGCCAAAGCCACGGCCGCTTCTCACGGGGTGCCGCGTCCCAAGTGAACCCATCCGTGAGCACCTTGTGGAAAGGCCACATAGGGAGCCCCGTGAATTTTCCAGTAAGCACAGCGTGACCGGGAAGTTAAAAGTGCAGATCCCAATGAACAGTGATTGGACATGTAGCAAATATCATGAGCATCATCTTTCCTTGGTGGCTGTCTTTGGAATGACTGCAGGGGGGCTGCTCTGGACCTCGCTTCCCATCTGTGAGGTCACTGTGTTCCTCAGTGCTGGTGTCCATCTTGTCGGAGGGGCCAGGGAAGGGAGCACTGTCAAATGTCATTTTTTTTTTTTTTTAAGATTTTTTAATTTATTTGAGAGCGAGAGAGAGTGAGCAGGGTGAGGGTCAGAGGGAGAAACAGGCTCCCGGCTGAGTAGGGAGCCCGATGCAGGGCTCGATCCCAGGACCTCGGGATCATGACCTGAGCCGAAGGCAGACGCTTAATGACTGAGCCACCCAGGCATCATTCTTATCTCATGCCACCTTTGACCTCTGCGCACCTGGCCTGGCTGGAGTTTCCTGTGGACTGAGGGGCCCAGACGAGTGAAGGGGAGGGGGATGTGTAGGGCAGGGTCGATGACAAGGCCTGCCCGAGCCTCCACCCTGTCTGTCTCGGTGCCTCTAGCTTTCAGAGTTTGTCGATAATGGTTTTGTACTCCGGTCACTCCATAGGAAGCTCGGGAGAAGGGGGAACAGCCTCTGTTTCCTCCCCTGGAAAGATGAGGACAAAAACCACCGTACGGAGGGTGCTGAGGTGCCTCTTGGGCAGCCCTGGGCAATGGAGCTGTAAACAACCTCAAAGAACAAGGAGATTCTTGAAGTGAAATGTTTTTAACTTCCCAAAGTCAGCGTATCTCTGTGCTGACCAACTTGCACACAGCACATGGCGTGGACCTGAGTGGGACTGTGTCCCCTCTGGTTCCACAGGTGACAGCCTCAGAGCGGGGACATTCGTAGGCAAGAGGCCCCCAGGGTGAGATTCAAAGCTGTAGAAAGGAAGACTGGAATCTGAGAAGGGAGGTTATTTTACCAGAGGAATTAACTCCGTGCCCTGGATATTGCTGCACTCATTCCACGACCATGGCCTCCTACGGGACTTGGTTTCTTGCTGCCTGTGGTCAGGGACTTTTTAAATTTTGCGTGGTTTTCCCTGGTCTCCCCCACCCCCACCAAGACTTCCCCTCTCTAGGAGTGACAGAATTTCCCTCTCAGACAGAAGAGATAACTTGCTTCCATCTCCCTGCTCTTTTCCCAGAAAAGGAGCTTTAGAATCACCAAAATGCTTGCACCCAGGGGCCTCTTCCTGGCGCTGCCCCAAATCCTCCTGGTCTCAGTCACAGGGCTGCCAGGAATCAGGCCATGCATTTTTCTTTCCTACTTCTGACTCTTCATCAGAAACTTCTGGTCAGTGCCACTTGGACCTACTTGCACCTTCCTTCCTGCACTAATTCATAGCAAAGATCTTTGAGGATCCAGACAAGGGTGCAGAGGGTGGCCTGAGTTGGAGGGGCAGCTTTCCGAAGTCTTTGTTCAAGGCCCCAACATTTCTGGTTATACAGCTGCTTCTAGGTCTTTCCAAAGAATAATGAGCAAAAAAGCAAGTCTACAGTCAAGCCCCCTTTGGCATGTCCCCAAGGCTCGCCTCCCCTGAGCCCACGCCTATTCCCTAAAGAGTCTATTAGCCTCGGCCGGTCGGCAACTTTGGAAGAGTGTTTCAGCACACATTCCATCAGTGAGAGGCGTCACAACCTGAACACCTCGGTGGGTTCCAAGGGACCTGCTTCCCTTTTTTTTCTGCAGAAAGCAGAAGCCAGAACACTTCCCCAGGAGATTGTGCTGTTGGCCAGAAAGTAAAACGTGTTCCCATTCCTGGTTATAATTCGCTCAGCAGGAAATCACCTCGCATCCGAGCAGCAGTAATTCAGGAACCACAGAAATAAAGTCAGGTCTCATCTCCTCTGAGTTGCAGTGTGAAGTCCCTGCGCTGCCCAGCGTCAGGCCTGTTGGCTCATCACTGGCTTCTCTCCCTGGCTCACATCTCTCCAGTCTCCCTCGGATTTTCAGCATGACCACCATTTTTTCTTTCCCACTCCGAGTGAGGACCTGAAGGAAAGCACGCTCACCAGGAGCTCTCCGGGGAGAGGACTGTGTGAAGAATACCGTGTGAATTGGGAGCATGGGGCCCCTGAGCACAGACTTTGTCTGGTTCGTGGCCCCCTCCTGTGCCTGCGACAGCATCTCACACACATAGGGGGGCTCCTACATGTCTGTTAAGTGGGGCTCCTTGGGCTGGGGCCCTCACAGAGCACAGATGGTCACTGAGGGGGTCTGGTCCCCTGCAGGCTTCTGTTCTCCTGAGAGTCAGGATAGAATCTGCTAGAGACAATATAGAGGCTGCGGATTCCTTCGAGGGGAGTCCAGGAGAGGAGGTCTTTTGGGTAGCTGTGAGGGGCAGGGGCTGTGGAGGGCAGGCTTCTCTGACAAGGACTGAAGAGGTGGTTTTGGTACTGGACGTGCCATGTAAGTGAGCTCCTTCTTCCCTTCCTCCTACGAATCCTTCAGTGAAGACCCCCTTGCTCACTAGTGCTCCGGTGTGAACAGTTTTTATGGTGGAAATGGTCAAGGCAAGGAGTGGGCTTACCCGCGAGATCATCATTTGAGCAACACAGTACTTGTTCCTCCCATCCTCTATTTTTGTTTAGTTGAAGTGAAATTCCCATAACAAAATTGAAGGAAATCTTTTATATGAAACTCCAGGAAAATCACTATTAGATGCTTTTTTCCCCCACTTTTTAATTTAAATACTAGTTAGTTAACAGATAGTGTAATACTGGTTTCAGGAGTCGTATTTAGTGATTCATCACTTACCTATAACACCCAGTGCTCAACACAACAGGTACCCTCCTTAATACTCATCACCCTTCTAGCCCATCCCCCTGCTCCAAAATTAACCATTTTAAAGTGAAGAGTTAGGTGGCACTCGGTACAATCACAAAGTTGGGCAACCCCCACCTCCATCTGGCTCCGCACGTTCTGATCACCCCAAAAGAAAACCCCCTCGGGATTAAGCAGCTGTTCGTCAAATGTGCTTCTTTGTGTCTCCTCTCTGCCACCCTCAGGCCCTGCGACTTGGGCAAGAACTCCGCAGAACCTTCCCCTCAAGAGGACGTGCAGCTGACCAAGCCCGAGATGTTTGAGAACCCGCTTTATGGGTCCGTGAGTTCTTTCCCTAAGCTGCTTCCCAGGAAAGAGCAGGAATCGCCCAAAATGCTGAGGAAGGAGCCCCTGCCCTGCCCGGACCCAGGAATCCTGTCGCCCAGCATCCTGCTCCCCAAAGCCCAGGAGGCCGAGGGCACCAAGGGGACAGGCAAGCCGGCGCCCACGCCCTTCCTCAGCCCCACGCCCCGGCTCCGCTCCTTCACCTGCTCGTCCTCCGCCGAGGGCCGGCCGGCGGGCGGGGACAAGAGCCAGGGGAAGGCCAAGGCCGCCGCCAGCCTCCAAGCCCAGGTGCCCGCCAAGAGGCCCGTCAAGCCCTCCAGGTCGGAACTGAGCCAGCAGGCCCCGCCCCCGCCCCCTGCGGCGCAGCGGCCACCCCTCCCGGTCAAGAGCCCCGCCGTCCTGCACCTGCAGCACTCCAAGAGCCGTGACTACCGCGAGAACGCAGAGCTGCCCCACCACGGCAAGCACCGGCCGGAGGACGCGCCGCTCAGCCGGGCGGCCATGCAGGTGCGCTGGCGCTGGGGGCGCGTGCGCGTGCGCGTGCGCGTGAGCGCCTGCTGGCCCCCCGGGGGGGGTACGCGCGCATGCGCATGGCACCCCGCTCGCCCTGGGGCTTGCCGTGGGCGCGTGCGTGCGTGTGATACGGCAGCCGGGTCCCGCTCAGATCCCAGGATTTGAACCCACGCCTGTCTGTCTCCGAAGGCCCTGCGCCTACCCTGAAAGAGTTAAATGAGGCGCTGGGGATAAAGTCTGAGCCCGCCTGTGTCTGTCCTGTGGGAACTCCGGGCTCCGCAAATCAAAAGAGCCCAGAGCGTTTACATTGCGTGATCATCATCATCAGTGTTAGTACTTAAAATTTTCCCGGTATTTTAGAGACTTCAGACACACTGTTCCCTTCCTTCCTATAAAATAGATTTCTTTTTGAGCAAAACTAATAGTGCTTAAGAACTGCCTCTGGAGCCAGACTGTCCTGGGTTTGAATCCCAGCTCTCCCACCTCCTGGCTCTGTGCCTTGAGCCTTAGTTTACTCGTCTGTAAAAAGGGGACTATTAATGGAATCTGCCTCATAGGTTTATAGGGAGGGTGAAATTTTATCATATATTGTTACCATGTTATAACCTACATATAAACTATATGTTTTACATTGCATATTTTATTTCTCCCATATACTGTAATTACCACATGCATATGATGTATGTGCATATATATTGGAATACATGGTAAGTACTTAGAACAGCGTGTTGGCTCTTTTCACCACCGTGTTGAAGGAAGCCTGATCTAGCCCATGGCGTGTAGGGACGTTCGCACCTTTAGTTAGATCTGGCCTCGTGGAGAATTCAGCACTGACGGTCTTCTGTTCTTGTCCCACAGTAAAGCCCCTGGTGAGCTGCCAGCAAGACAGGAGCCCAGAGGAGCAGCGTGAAAGCCACTCGGACCTTCTCCCAGGACCCCCTGCTGGTTCCTCCTACCTAGCTTCCTGTGCAGGGCTTCCTATTTTTCAGGAGAGCGCCCAGCTTCTGTGTGGTCAGCAGAGTGCCCTGACTGCAAAACTTGGCACCAAGTGCTAAGGGTGGAAGAGAAAGTGTACCTGGGCCCCCAGCTTGATCTTGGTACTTGGGACCCATGAGCCTCGTTCCGGTCATCATTTTGAAGAAAGGAGCTAAAGTGCTGATTTGCAGGTGGAGATATAAAATAATAATAATAATATTAATAATAATAATTGCTACATGTATGGAGCACTCACCACGTGCCAGGTACTGTGCTAAGTGCTTTACAAACATGAGTTAAGTCTTCTTCAGCTGACCAAAACCACATTCCAGACGCCCAGTTCGGAACATGTGTGTCCTGAGCGGTTTGGACAAAGCATTAAAAATTAAGGCCAGTGCCTTCCTGGAGTGAGACAGGGCTTGGGCTTTAGGGAGCTGAAGAGTGAGTGGTTCACTTAGGGTACAACAAACCTGGCTTTGTCTAGCTTCAGTGATACCAGCTGCTTCAGCTAAAGCCCCAGGTTGCAGCAGAGCTGGCCCAGAGAAGGGATCGCTCTCTGTCTTCTCAGTTCTTTAGTCAGAAGGAGAAGGAAAATCAGCCCTTACTCCCAGGGAGAGATCCGACTTCAACTCATGCTAGAGGTGCCCGGGCTCCCCTCGAGGTGGGCAGCCATCACCAGGCCGCGGTTGGAGCCGAACCCCGACACTTATTTCATTGTGCTCATAGAAAAGTCTCTGCTGTCACTCCTGAAAGCCAAGCTCCCCTGCCTGGCTGCCAGGGAGGTGAGCCTCTCCATTCCGGCTCTCAGAACAGTGCAGGCATTTTTCTCCAAACTCCGTGGCTTTTGGCCCTGCTTCCTTGGTTACTAGGAGAGTAGATTGGCGATGTCTTTTCTTGTGTTGCTTTTTGACATACAGAATTAGCATAGGAAACCAAATCCAGAAGTGTGAGTGCAGGAGAATGGGTACGCGCCCCACGTCCCCGTGTGTGTCTGTCTGCGTGACCAATAAATTGTGCCTTTCTCACTCAGCTCCCAGCTGTGTGGCAGTTTTTTCCTGACATTCAGCCACAGACGATGCTTCTAGGCTGTTGGGGCTGCAAAGCTGCCGGAGGGGAGGACAGGTTGTTGAGGTTCGTGGTGGTGACGGGCCGACTAGTCCCCTGACTAGAGGGGACTTCGTAGAACCCGTTAGAAGTTGGCATAGACCAGGAACAGCAGTAAGTGGCTACACAGCTTCGTGGACTCCAGGCACCGTGTGGTCCCCCAACTTCCACCGATGTCATCACCCCCCACACGCACACGCCACCGTCACCACCTGCTGTCCTGCAGCCCCACGTTCCTCCTGCCTTTTCTAAGTGTTCATTGCTAAGCTCCAGGGACAATAAACACATGTAAACAACACCCACGTTGTGGGCCTCCAGCTCCCGGCACTCGGGAGCCACACGTACTGCCCATGGGCCTGGGAGCAGCCCGCGCCCGGAGGGCCAGTGTGGGGGCTGCTTGGCCCCACTTCCAGGGCACTTTGGCCCAGGCTGCTGTTCCCACCAGCTCGGTGACTCAGCCTCTGCTCCGCTTCGCAGACACCAAGCCTGCACTGTGGGCAGAGCTTGAGGGAGTGGTGTGCTTAGCGGCCACGGGGCAAACTATTCACTGCCCTGCAGCGGTGGCTCGTGGACATGCAGGGGTGAGGCTGAAAGCCCACTGTGACCACAGCTCCTCACCGCACTCAGGCGGGCCCCCCTCACCCTGCAGGCGCACTTCCTGCTCCTCACACAGAAACACCCGAGTCCCCAGGTACCAGCCTTCTGACTCGCTAGGCCAAGGGCCAGGGGGGAAGGACAGCTGGAAATACCCAGACATCCTCTTGGGCAACCCCCCCGCCCCATAGCCATCACCCCACGGCTGAAGACCTGGGCACGATACCCGGGGCTCCTGGGGAACCCACTGGCTGCCAGGATGCGGTGGCCTCCTGGGAGCTGCCTGTAACAGCCCACTCACAGGAAGAGTGTAGAGCTGGCGCTAACACCCCCCACCCAGAACGGACATCCAGACCCTCCCCACCATTTCTAAGGGTTCCCAGGAGAACTGAGTTGAGGACCAGCACTGTGAGGTGCACCTTGGGCTGCCGATCATCTTTTGCTCTGAGTTCTAGGGGCCAGAGCAAGTACAGTGCCCCTCATGGGTTTCCTCCAAGCCCGACCACAGGCTGTGTGAGCACCACCCAGGCTGTCAGTTGATGGGTAACAGCCCCACTGGGATGTCTGGAACTGGAAACTGAAGTGTAAGAGCCTTGTCCTCTCGGCTGCTCAGCCCCACACCCCCCTTCCTCCCTCGAGGTCCCTGACCCCCTTCCCCTGGGCTCCGGCCTGCCACTACTCTTGGGGCGAGCTTTCTCTGCCGCGTCTGCCGTGCTCACAATCCTGCCCCCTCCTGCGGGAGGATGACATGGGGACCCAGAAACCCCCACCTCTTTATCACTTAGGTAATTTTCCTCTGCTTTGTGTCAGCTAGCCTTCCCCAGGCTCCCTAAGCGAGAAGGCACATTGATTAACACGCTTCCTACAAAAGTGCCCCCTGCCCCAAGGATGAATTCCGTCGCCTTCTGAGATGGCAGAAGCTGCTGCAGCCCTTTTTTTCTAAGTAAATTTTTCCTCCTTTGCATGGTTACATGAACGCTGGTTGAATGCAGCGGCTCTTTTCACCACCGTGTTGAAGGAAGCCTGAT